TAAAATGAAATAAAATTTTAAATAAATAAATAAATAAAACTTCTCACCTATTTATGGTACAAAATCCCATTATTCCCTGGGATTTGGGGGTTTTTAAATTAATAAAATTTCCATTTTACTTCTTTATAGTTTTTTTTCCCCCCACAGGAAGGAAAAATCTCAGTTGAACCTGGTGTTGGGTTCCACCCCCCCCCCGGGAAAATGCCCTTCGTTCCTCGTGTTTTTATCGCACTAAAAAACCCGTTATACCGGTTTTTTGGTTCGTGATATTTGGGATTTTTTACCCCATGGGGGAATAAATTAACCCCACCCTGTTACCCCTTTGATCAGAGAAAATAAAAACCTTCTCACCTGCTTCTTTCCACCCCCAAAAAAAAATCCAAACACCTGTTTCTCACCCAAACTTCCTCATCTGCTTATATTTTTCCTTTCAGGAAAATAAAAATATCTAATTTCCTGTAATTTTCAAGAAAAGAAATACTTTTTTTTAGGAAACAGTCACACACTTGGGTGTATTTTTCCTAAAAAAAACCCAAAAAACCCAAACATGAAAAATTCTTTTAAGAGCCCTTATTATGACTTTTTTATTGGTTTTCTTCGACTTTTTTTATAGAGTTATTAATCAGAGCCCTTAAAATTTTTTATAGAGTTATTCATCAGAGCCCTTAAAATCTGGGGTTTTTCCACCAAAAATCCTTTATTACTCATTTTCTTTTTGGAAAAACCTGATATTCTCCACTTTTTCCCTCAAAAAAGACTCATTTTTGATTTCTTTCCCTCAACAAAAAGAACCCCTTTGGTTTTTAAAGACTTTTTCAGGCAAATTTCTGCAACAAAAAAAAAGATTTATTTCCAGCGGAGTATTTTCTGGAATTTCTTCTGCAATTTTTCACCCCAAAAAACCCCTTTTTCTCCCCCTTCCTCCCTCCCCCCCAACTTTTTGCGGGTTTCTTCTGCAAACTTCCCTTATTCCTGATTTTTATTTCAATTTCTGCTGTAAAATACCTTTATTATGTGCTTAAAAAAAAAAAGCAGGAAAAAAACACAACTAAAAACCCCCAACTGCCCACTTTCCGTTGCAATTTCTGCAGCAAAAAGCTTTTTTTCCCCATTTTTATTTTCCGGCATGTTCAAACCTCGCATTTCTACAAGGAAAAAAACCGCTTTTATTCCCCAATTTCTATTTTTGGAACTTTCTCTTGCGATTTCTGCGGCGAAACTGATTTCCTTGTTTCTTCAGAACGCCCTCCCGTGTGTTTCTGCAGGAAAAATAAAATTATATTCTCCGTTTTAAAATATTTTTTCAATTAATTTCAATTAATTTTCGACAGCAGATTTTTTCCAGCTGAAAAACCCTCATTCCTTATTTTTTTTTAATTTTAAGAAATTCCTACCACAATTTCTGCGCTCAAAAAGAAGCAAAATTTTTTCTTGATTTGGGTTTTTTTTTTTATTTTTAATGGAGAAATATTTACAGCCCGCATTGGGTTTTTTTTTCCCTTTCTCCCCCCTTGTTTTTCCCAGCTCTCTCCACCGCCATGTTCCGCGGCAAGGAATTCTTCACCGTCTTCATGCAGAACTCCGAGCGGGGCACCCGCGCCAACCTCCAGCTCCTCTTCACCTCTTACTCCAACTCCACCCAGGTGACGGTGACGCAGCGCGGCGGCACCTTCGCCCACACCGTCGCCCTCGGGCGAGACGAGACCGTTTCTCTCTCCGTCCCCAGCCACGTGGAGCACGTCGGCAACTGGATTTCGGATAAAGCCATCTTGATTCAGGCCACCGAGGAGATCTCCGTGGTCTCCATCAGCTCCAAGCGTTACACCATGGGTGCCACCACCGTGTTGCCCGTAGGGGCGTTGGGCAACAAATATTACGTGGTGACACCGAAGCGCGTCGGGAGTGATGGCTTACAGGGGCTGCCGGGAAGACGTCGGCCAGCGTCTCCATCACTGTCAAGGGCGAGTTTCGTTACAACGGGAAGAAATACTCCCCCGGGTCCACCCTCCGCATCGTCCTCAACCCCTACCACAGCTTCCAGCTGCAGAGCGGCCAGGATTTGTCTGGCACCGAGATCACGTCGGACAATGCCGTCGCCGTCTTCAGCGGTCACAGCTGCGTGAAGATCCACACAGGCTGTGACTACGTGGTGGAGCAGCTTCTGCCCGTGGCCGCGTGGGGGACTGCTTACGTCGTCCCGCCCAACCCCTTCCAGTACTATGTTGACTTGGTCTACGTCGTGGCGGCCGAGAAAGCCTCCATCACCTGCAACCGGGGGAGTGTGGCTGTCACCGAGGACATCGAGGCTGGGGAGGTCCATGAGTTCGAGATTAGCCAAAATTCGCCGCTTTACGTCAACGCTTCAGCTCCGATTCAGGTGGTTTTCTTCTTCACCGGTGCCAGGAAGAGCTGGTACAATCGAGACCCCTTCCTACTCAACATCCCGCCTGTCTCCACCTACTGCACGTCCTACCGGGTCCGCATGCTGGCCGGCTACGAGAACCACGTGGTCCTCACCGCCCGGAACGAGGATGCCAGCACCTTCGCCCTCAACCAGAAGACAGAGGGGACCATGTCCTGGGAAGCGATTCCCGGCACAAACTTCTCCTACACCTTCGTCACCATGAGCAAGGCGGTGGACATCCAGAGTGCCGAGCACAGGCAAACGCCCTTTGGGCTCCTGGTCTTCGGCTTCAAGAATTACGCCGGATACGGCTTGGCCGGCCTTTGTACCACACGTAAGTAGGTCCAATGTGTGGCTGCATCTTGCCGACGGCCTGGTCTTCTCCATGGTTGCCATCTGTGGTTGGTTTTTTTCTGCAGCTTCTCCTCCGCTTTCCTGTGAAAACCTGGGCTGCAAGGAGAAGTGCGAGGTGGTGGATGGGCAACCCACATCCATCCCAGAAACCTTCTCGACCTGCTGGGCTGCTGGCGATCCCCACTACCAGACCTTCGATGGGAAAGCCTTCGACTTCATGGGCACGTGCACCTACACCTTGACCAAGACCTGCGATCCGGATCCGACCCTGCCCGTCTTCAGCGTCGAGGCCCGAAACCAACGGTGGGGTAACCTGAAGGCCTCCTTCATTGCCTCCGTGACTGTCCGTGCCTATGACGTCACCATCGCCGTGGACCGGTCCGAGAACGGGATTGTGAGGGTACGCCAGCAAATTAATTCGCAAATCCAACGCAATATTGCGGCGTTTCTGTGGAATCATGTCTTTAATGATGAGCTTAAGGGTCTTCTCCAAACTCAACAACTCTATGATTTGCCACACATGGGTCGCTGACGCTGCTGCATGGTCTTCTCTCGCAAGAAGATGCCTTGAAGCTCAAAAATCTCCATTTTTCACCCCATGTTAGATGTTATTTGTGTTTTGTGGGTTGTTTTTTTTCCTGCTCCAGGTGAACAACCATCGCTCCCGCCTCCCGATCTCCCTCGCCCAAGGACAACTCCACCTGCAGCAGAAGGGCAAGTCCGTCCTGATCAAAACCACCTTCAAGCTGGAGGTCCTCTACGACTGGGACGACCGCGTGGTGATCAAGCTGCCCGGTGCGCTCTCCGGCAAAGTGTGCGGGATGTGCGGCAATGGCAACGGTGACCCCCGGGATGATTCCCTCATGCCTGACGGCCACCTGGCGCGGGACGCTGAGGAGCTGGGCAGGAGCTGGAAGGTGGCCGACGAGGGCCACCACTGCTGGGACAGCTGCAGTGGGGACTGCGGCCGTTGCCAATCGAACGAGGCTGCGAAGTACGCGGGGGAGACGTCATGTGGGTTGCTCACTCAACGCCTGGGGCCCTTCAAGCGCTGCCACGCCGCCATCGACCCCGACGTCTACCTGAAGAACTGCGTCCACGACCTCTGCATGAAAGATGGGCTCCACGTCATGCTGTGCCGAGCCCTCGAAGCCTACGCGGACGACTGCCAGGCGGCGGGGATCGCGGTTTCTGACTGGAGGACGCTGGCAGGCTGTCGTGAGTAGCTGCTGGGTGGGCAGGGTGCCCAGCAAGGGTGTCATTAAGGGGCGATGGGATAGGAACGAGCAGAAGAGAGGCACCAAAGGGAAATCGCGTCCGCGTTTGTTGCTCCTTGGTGCTCTTGATCTCCCAAGCGAGATGGGGCCAGGTTGTTTTGAACCAGGGTGCGCAAAGTTGGGTCTGAAAGGGCCGTGGGTCCTAAGAGTGCGGATTCATGGGCTGGAAGAGGTTGTTGCAGAAAGTCCACGTAGACTCCAAAAAGTCTGTGCAGAAAGTCCAGGCAGAAAGTATGTGTAGAAGCTCCAGAAAGTCCAAGCCCCACAAATCCAAGCAGAAAGTCCAGAAAGCCTGTGCAGACTCCCAAAGGTCTCTGCTGAAAGTCCAGAAAGTCTGTTCAGAAGGTCCAGAAATACCTTTGAGACCCTGAAATGTCTCTGCTGGAAGCCCAGGGAGTCCATCAGGTTCCCAGAAGTCTGTGCAGAAGGTCTGGGGAGTCCGTGGAGACTCCCAAAACTCCATGGAGGTAGTCCAGAAGGTCCAAGTCCTGAAAGTCTATGCAGAAGGCCCTGGGAGTCTGTGGAGACTCCCAAAGGTCAATGGAGATAGTCCGGAAGGTCCAAGTCCCGAAAGTCTGTGCTGAGGGTCCAGGGAGCCCGTGGAGACTCCCAAAGGTCTATGGAGATAGTCCAGAAGGTCCAAGTCCCGAAAGTCTGTGCTGAGGGTCTGGGGAGCCCGTGGAGACTCCCAAAGGTCTATGTAGATAGTCCAGAAGGTCCAAGTCCCAAAAGCCTGTGCAGAAGGTCCAGGGAGTCCGTGAAGACTCCCAAAAGTCCATGGAGATAGTCCAGAAGGTCCAAGTCCCGAAAGTCTGTGCAGCGGGTCCGGGGAGCCCATGGAGACTCCCAAAGGTCTATGGAGATAGTCCAGAAGGTCCACACAGATTCCAGAAAGTGCGTTCAGAAGGTCCAGAAACTCCAGGAAGACCCTAGAACCTACACGTAAAGCTCCAGAAAGCCCAGACAGGTTTTCTTAGCCCTCTGCCATGCTTTCTTACGGCCAAGGAGCATCATCTCCACTGTGACTGTGGGTGTCCTGTCCCTTTGACAGCGCTCTCCTGCCCCAAGAACAGCAACTACACCCTGTGCGGCACTGCCTGTCCCGCCACCTGCAACGCCGCCGCGATGCCCGCTGACTGCAGTGCCGCGGCCTGCGTGGAGACCTGCGAGTGCCAGGAGGGCTTCGTGCTCGACGCCAACGAGTGCATCCCCCAGGCCGAGTGCGGCTGCATCTTCGAAGGCCGCCTCCACGGCCTCGGCGAGAAGGTTTGGGGCGATGGCGCCTGCACCAAACGCTGTGTCTGCGGTGCGGAGTCCCGGAGGGCCGTGTGCCAACGGGTCAGCTGCCGCGTTGGGGAAGAATGCCGGGTGGAAGACGGCATCCAGGATTGCTATCCCAAGAGCTACGGGACCTGCACAGCCGTTGGCGCTACCCACTACGAGACCTTCGACGGCAAGAAGTTCACCTTCCAGGGCACCTGCATGTACCAGTTGGCCGGGCTGTGCGAGAAGACCCAAGGTCTGGTGGACTTCCAGGTGCTGGTGCAGAATGGCTGGCATGACAAGGACCTCCTGTCCTCCATCGCTCTCGTGATGGTCAAAGTCTACGGCAAAAACATCGTGATCCGCCAGGAGCACCCTGGTAGAATCACGGTGGGTTCAGTAAATGTCTGTTTAATCTCCATGTTCTTCACTTTCTCCTCCTTGTCCCACTTCTTCTCTTCCACCCTCACTCCTCTATCGGGTGGTGCTGAATATTTTTTCCCAGCCATGCTGCTGAGATCCAGAGCTACTGGGGCTGTTTGCCCCCGGTTAATTAAGATGAGGTTTAATTGCCTAAATGCAAGGGTCTCCACCTGAAGCGGGAGACCCCGGTGCGTGATGTAAAGCCGTGGATCCTCAGGCACCGTTCCCCTCGAAGCTGGTGGGTTTCTGTCATTGGGGTTGGTGGTTAAATCTGAAAAAGTCTTCTTCTAAATAATTTGGGTGCTTGGCTGTAGCCCAAACCGCAGGTGGTGTGAAAACACAATTTCCCTCTGCTATTGGATATTAAATTATTATTATTTTGCATTTTTCCTCCCCCAGATCAACGACCGGTTGGTCAACCTCCCGTATCGCCACAGAGACGGGAAGATCTTCGCCTACAGAGGTGGGCAGGAAGTGGTGGTAGAGACAGACTTCGGCCTTACTGTCACCTACGACTGGCAAAGCCAAGTCACCGTGTCGGCGCCCAGCAGTTATGCCAACGCCTTGTGCGGCCTCTGCGGGAACTACAACGAGGACGTGGGCGATGAGATGATGATGAGGAATGGCCAAGTGACGTCAAACCCGGATGCCTTCGGCCACAGCTGGAAGGAGATTGATGTCCCTGGTTGCGTGGAGCTGTCGAAGGTGGAATGTCCCATGGCCGCAGTGGCTCTGCAGCACCGAGGGGTCTTGGAGAAGGGTTGTGGGATCCTCCTGGAAGTGGATGGACCCTTCAGAGCTTGCCGCGCTCAGGTGGACGCCGCCCAATACTTCCAAAACTGCCTGCACGATTTCTGCCTCTTCCCGACCCAGGAAGACGTGATGTGCCGGATCGTCGCCCGCTATGCCGCCGCCTGCCAAGCGGCCCACGTGACCGTCGGGAGATGGAGGAGGGACGATTTCTGTGGTAAGTCGGGCGATTTGGTGGGGTTTTCTTTTGCTTCAGGAGGGGTTACGAGCTTCTAAGGGAAGCTAAACCCTTTTGGGGACAAACCAGAGGTGGGAATCGTCTCCCTTCGTGGTTCTTTATCCCACCCGAAGTCTAGGTTCATCCAATCACCTCTGTTTGCAGCCAAAACCCAGAAACAAACTCTTCCAGGGAACAAGGTGTCTCATCTGGCTACGACCAGTCAAAGAATTTAGCCCCAATAAACACCGATGTCTTCGCGTTGGCTAAAAAGGAGAGTGAGGGCTGATTGCCTGGATCGTTTCGAGGGCAGAACGCGTGAGATGTGCCGAAAAAATCGGAATTAAGGGGAGAGGGACCTGGCCTGGAAGATGATCGGGGACCCAAGGTGGAGGTGATTCCGTTGCTTGAGGGAACATCCTCCTTTCTGCCCCAAATAATGGGGGGAAACCGGGTGGTTTAGGGGTCAAAAACCTCAGAAGGGTTGAAACGTCCCTGGTGGACACCTCCTCCCTCCTCAGGGAGCAAGAGGTGAGAGGTAGCCATGAAGTAATTGGGTAAAAAGCCAAACTTTTCAAACACAAGTCCAGGCTGGGTGGAGAGTGGCTCGAGAGCAGCCCTGAGGAGAAGGACTTGGGGGTACTGGTGGATGAGAAGCTCAGCACAAGCCACCAATGTGTGCTTGCAGCCCAGAAAGCCACCCTTATCCTGGGCTGCATCGAGAGCAGCGTGGCCAGCAGGGCGAGGGAGGGGATTCTGCCCCTTCACTCCGCTCTTGTGAGACCCCACCTGGAATCCTGCATCCAGCTCTGGAGTCCCCAACATAGGAAGGACATGGATGTGTTGGAGCGGGGCCAGAGGAGGCCACGGAGATGATCTGAGGGCTGGAGCACCGCTGCTATGAGGACAGGCTGAGAGAGTTGGGGCTGTTCAGCCTGGAGAAGAGAAGGCTCCGGGGTGCCCTTAGAGCAGCCTTCCAGTACATGAAGGGGCCTACAGGAAGGGTGAAGACGGTCTTTTCACAAGGTTGTGTAGTCAAGCTGTGGCTGCCCCCTCCCTGGCAGGGTTCAAGGCCAGGTTGGATGGAGCTCTGAGCAGCCTGATCTGGTGGAAGATGTCCCTGCTTATGGCAGGGGGGTTGGAACCAGCTGAGCTTTAAGGTCCCTTCCAACCCAAACCATTCTATGATTCTATGAAAAAAATATAATAATCTGCATCTGGTGAACCTCATCACTGGGCACGATGGTGTCCCCCATTGCAGGGAACTCGCCGGATCTGGCCTGTAGTCCCCTCGCTCCTCACGAATGCCCTTGTCTCGCGGCAGGTATCTCGTGTCCCGCGAACAGCCACTACCAGAGCTGCTCCCCTGCAGCCAGACCTGCAGCAGCATCTACAGCCCGGTGAAGTGCTCGGGGCAGTGCAGGGAGGGCTGCGATGGCGACGACGGCTTTGTGCTCAGCGGCGACGAGTGCGTCCCCGTGTCCCGGTGCGGGTGCCTCCACCAGGACTTCTACTACAAGATGGAGGAGACCTTCTTCCCCACCAAGCAGGAGAAGTGCCAGTGCCAGGACGGCAACGCGGTCGACTGCCAAGAAGTTTCTTGCCCTGGAGACAGTGAAGGCAAAGTCATCGACGGTGTCTTCCAGTGCCCATCTGCTGCGCGTGGGGCCTGCGTGGCCACAGGTGACCGCAGCTACATCTCCTTCGATGGGATGGCTTTCAACATCTCGGGCGCCTGCTCCTACATTCTCACTGAGACTTGCAACGGTGACGGCGTCAAACCGTTTCTTGTGAAAATCGAGAAGAGCGCCCGGCAGAAGAAGAAGGTCTCTGTCATCCGAGCATTGTCCGTTGAAGTCTATGGGCTCACGCTGACCTTGATGCGAGGCAGGAGGGGAGCCGTCACGGTAAGGCGGTGCTTCGTGGTCTGCCTCTTTCTGGTGGTGACAAAGTCTGTGGGCTCCTGGTGACCTTGACACGAGGCAAGAGGGCAACTGGCACGCGCAGTCTGCTCTGTGAGTGCAGAAATTACGGTGGCGGTGTCTACAGGCTCATGATGACCTTGGCGTGAGGCCACAAAGGCTCTGGGGCAGCGGGTGGTGAAGCGCGGCTGCACCTCTTTATGGTCGCGAGCGTGCTGGTGTCAAAGTCGACGGGCTCGCGTTGAATCCGGCGTGAAGCACAGGCTGTGTGGTCACAGCAAGGCCAGGTTTTGCGGTCCGCTGCTTTTCGGGTGCGAACACGGGAGCCCCCAGAAATTGTTTTTCTTCCATGGAGGGAAGACCTCACTGCTATGACCGAGACAAAGCTGTGCTCCTCCCCAGTTTGCCTTCCAGTTTCAAAGTGGGAGGCATAAATTCATTGAAAGGTTGGTTGGAAGCTGTTTTCCCCAATGTTTTTTTGTTCCTACCTCCATCGCCGCCTCCTTGTATTGTCCTTGAAGCTCACTGGAGGATTTCTCTCTCCCTGTCCCAGATGGACTCAATATCCCACCACCTCCCGGTCATCCTGAACAAGGGGCAGGTCCAAGTGCACCAGCACGGGATGGGTGTCCTGCTTCAGACTGACTTCGGCCTCGCCGTACGCTATGACCTCCTCCACCACGTGACGGTCACGGTCCCGCCGAGCTACCAGGGCCACCTTTGCGGGCTCTGTGGCAACTACAATGGGCAACGTAATGATGACTTCCTCCTCCCCAGTGGCCAACAGGCCCCCACCGCCATGGTCTTTGGCTCTGCCTGGAAAACACCTGAAATGGATTGCGATGACGACTGCTCTAAGGACGACTGCCCCGTCTGCGCGGAGGAGAAGAAGGTGATCCTCCAGAAACCCAACTACTGCAGCATCCTCACGCTCCCAGAAGGCCCCTTTGACTCCTGCCGCCACCTCATCGACCCAGCCCCTTATTTCCAAGCCTGCCTCCACGACGTTTGCCTGGCTCAGGGGGACACCCGCATCCTTTGCCAGAGCATCCAGAGCTACGCCACCGCTTGCCAAGACGCTGGTGTCATCATCGAGCCTTGGAGAAGACCATCCTTGTGCCGTAAGTGGGAGTCGTGGGTGGGAGACTTCCTGCGTGGCCGCGAAGTCACATCCCGTTGGGCTGAAGTGAAAAGTAGGCGGGGCTTTACCATTTATTTCTGAGGGATGTTGGGGCTGGGTGTCCGTGCTGACCAACCCTCGATGCCTGGCGGGGTGCAAATGGTGCCTTTGGGTTGGGAGGATGACGGTGGCCTGCAAGCAATTTCCCCAGGGTGAAGCCAGCCCAAGGGGCTGCATTTTCATTGGCGTTGGGGACAAATAAGGAAAATCAACCCGCACGTGCCAACTGGGTGCATCTTCACCCATGTGGTGGGCGAGCAGGAGAAGCCGCCGCCAGGTGTCAACCAGGCGGATTTTTGCTGGCATTCTGGGCCAGCGGGGAAAGCCAACGGAAGTACCGACCAGGTGCATTTTGGGTTGGTATCGGGTGAAAACGGGAAAAGCCAATGCAAACGCCAACAGGGGGAGCTTTCTTTGAAACGGGAGGCAAACGGGAAGAGCCAACACAGAGAAAAATGCGCTTGGTTAGCACTTGCGTTGGCTTTTCCCTCTGGTCCCCACCACCAAGCGCCAACGGGTTGTGTTTTCATCAACATTCAGACTCCGCCATCTCCCCGGGGTGCCACG